ACCAAATGAGTGAAAAGGGAGGAAAAATTCATTAACAACTACTATTACAGGATCTCTAACCCCTATTCTCTGAGGCCTGTTTAGATACATGGCAGTCATCTATTTTTATGTATAATGCTTTCTTGAAAAGGTGAATAACAGCCAAATGTAAGAATTTTGAAAGACTCCTTAGGATCCATTTCACATGTGTTAAATATGCATTTAATTATATATTCATATATACTAGTGGTGAAAGTGGTTGCTTCTAGTGCTAAGGAAATGGCGGGGGACAAAGTTGGAAGATAGTTATTTTTCATAAAACAACATATAGGACTCTAACTCTTTAAAATATAACCATTTGTAAATTTGATAATATAAAACCAAAAAAATTAAGAATACATACTACATTAAAATTTTTAAAAGCTTTGGAGAGAAGAAGTAAATCACATACAGACTCAGGACAAAGAATGTCTTCGGATTTCTCAGCAACAACACTAGACGCCAAAGGCAATGGAGAAATGCTTTCTAATTTTTGAGGAAAATGGTTTCAAATCTTGTGTCTTACAGTAGAATCAAGACACCTTTGGGCAGAGAAGGCATATTGGCCAGGTTAGTTTAATACAGCAGAAGTTACTCTAGCTAGTTGCTATGGTCTGAATGTTTGTGTCCTTCCAAAATTCATATTGAAATCCTAATGCCCAAGGTGATGGCATTGGTGGGGGGGCACTTTGGGGGGTTATTAGGTCATGAAGGCAGAGTCCTTGTGAATAAGATTAATGCCCTTATAAAAGAGACCCAAAAAAGCTCCCTTGTCCCTTTCAGCTTGTGAGGGCACAGTGAGAAGTCAGCGATCTGCAATCTGGAAGAAGGCTCTCACCAGGACCTGAGCATGCTGGCACCCTGATCTTGAACTTCAAGCCTCTAGAACAGTGAGAAATAAATTTCTGTTGGTTTTGAGCCACCCAATCTGTGATATTCTTTTATAGTAGACGAAGACACCAGTTTAAGCCAAAAGGACTAGTTATGAGGTAGAAAGAGCTTACAGAGGGGAAGAGAATGGACTGCACTTCCAGGAGTGACACCCCAGCACCACAGCACAGAGCTGCTGCCTCTGATAGAAGCCACTAAGCAGGGAGGCTGATGTCACAGGTGCCAGTTCCAACCTCTGCCTCTGCTGTTGCCAGGAGGCTGCTAAATCAAGTGCTACAGTCATATTTTGGACTCCAGATCCCTTCTGTGCTGCCTTACCCAGATCTGCACCTGCCAAACGGAAGCCTCAGGCCCTGCTTCTTTCCTAAGTAACTCAGCTTTGGATCCAGATTCTGACTGGCACACACACAGCTGACTGGTGGAATCAAAATCACATGTCTGCAATCTAGCAATGGAAAAATGACTTGGAAAAAAAAATGTTCTTTGATAAGAATGTAGAATTTGTAATGTGGGAAACTGTTTAAACGATGAGAAGGGGTGTTCAAAAATGCAGCCTGAGTGGCAAAAGTCCACTACATGCAGACTTGAATTTTTATCTCTTATGGATTCTTTCTTAGGAAATAATCAAAAGATATTAGTTTTTTCACTAAACAAGGGAATTAATCAAGAAAGAGGGAGATATAAAATTAGATAATAGGAGATCTAGCACAGGGAAGCAGGCAAAGGAAGTTTCCAAGATGATAATGAAGAGAAGGTCAAAACAGCACTCGGCGTGAGCAGGAATTTGAGCTTGCACAGATGGGATGGGAATGAGGCTTTGGGGAAGAACCAGCTTGATTATCGGATGCTTTCAACTCTATTAAAGTATCCAGAGAATTATGACAGGCACACAGAGCCCTGAACAACTGGGGAAAGAAAGGCAAGTATGAATGCTAAGAAAATAAAAAGGTACACAAGTAAGAAAACGTAATCTTAGCATGCTACATGTCTCAGATGTGAATAGCATTTACATGGGCACAATGGTGTAAGCACTCAGTACTGATAACAGAAGCAGTGATATAATTATATTGGCAAGCCTGCGTAAGAAGGGGAAGAGAATGCTTTGGAGGCAAAAATACAGTAAGTACAGACACTAAGTCCTCATATTCTACTTTAGGAAGCTAAAGAAAATATCTAACATTGAAAAATCAAGAAATAATAATATAAGCATATTTCTTAGAATGTGTACATAAATACCAAAAGAAAGTTGTTTAGTTTTAAGATTTGTGCAGTTTTCCTCTTACTTTTCTCCTCTCAGTACATATGGCACTGCTGTTTTGCCAATTTATTTGAGAGTGTTAAAACTGATCCTAACAATTAGAAGTGTCTTCTCCTGTCATGTAATAAATCTTTCTTTCTTATTTGTACCTGCATGATCACATTACATGAGAACAAGCAAAAAGCGAGACACACTACACTACACCCGTCCACTCAACTAGAGATAAACCACGACAGTGTTTAAATATCACACAACAGAATGTCTTTGAAAGTCTTAGACATAATAATGAAGACACTGCCACTCTTGTAAACATTTGAAAGGAGTGTTTAGTGGAGAAATTGCGAAGAGTGTTCTCAAAAATCTTGGGGTTTACTTCCTCCAAGAAGTCAGAGAAACAGGATGCAGTGGATTTTCAATGAGTCATTAATGTGACATTCATTGACTCTTTTGTGCACAGAATTTAGAAAACAAAGTGGGTTTATTTTCATGGCTGCCACTAGGACTAATTCTAGGGAAGGCATAAAATGCAAGGCAGCTGCCTAGAAATCCTGGATGGCATCATCCTGTGCCCTGTATTTACCAGTATGGAAAGGAGAAAGTGCTGTGCAGCTCTAAATCCAATAAGTTCTCAGGAGATTAGAAAGGTTTTGTTGTTGTTGTTGTTTTGTTTTTTTTTTTAATGTTGAAAATTGTTGCCTGAGCAGAATTTTGGAGTAGGAAGTAGTGAACACTGCCATTTTCATTATAAGCCTGATATATATACACACACACAAATACCATTAATTACAATAAAAAATTGAATGCAGGAAAAAAGCACCTCTTGGTGTACATTGGTAGCCTCTCTCTCCTTAAGACTCATACATTTGCCTCAAATTCTCCCTTCTCTGTGATACACCTGCCCATTCTGTAAACCCTTCTTACATCGTGTCAGTATGGCAAACTACATTGGCCACTGGCTCCTTCCCAAAAATCAACCTTAGAGAAACTATAGAAGCTAGAGGGAAACTTGGATTTGAAGAATTAATAACCAAAAAATAAAATAAAACACTGTGAGAGGTCCTTGGGGAATCTGAAGACTCGGGACTTATTATATGGGGGGTAACGGGGAGGGGGTAAGCAGGAAGTGGGAGGTAAAAGGGAGAATGCTTCAGCCCACGAGAATGGCAGCCAAGGGTTGCTGTGAGAAGTGAGGTGAACAAAGAACAGCTTCTTGTTCTGTGCTAGCTTCTCCCCCACATGCATCATCACAGCCTGCCAATCATCGCAGAGACTGGAAATAACAGCAGAGTGCAGGGGGCAGGGGGCAGGGGGCAGAGAGCAGGAGGATCCGATGAGGGATGAGGGCAATGCAAATGCACTGCGGGAGTAAAGAGAGATGGAAAGGGTGGATGTGTACTGACCAGCTACCCCTGTACTCACCACTATACCCCTCCCACTCCAAACCCCAGGGCAAGGGGACCAAATCTATGGAGACTTTCTGGAGAGTTTAAAATGGGAAAAACAGTCATGTGCTGATTAACAACGGGGATACATTCTGAGAAATGTGTTGCTGGGTGATTTCATCGTTGTACAAACATCACAGAGTACACTTACAGAAACCTACATGATACAGCCCACTACAGATCTGGGCTATCCAGTATAGCCTACAGCTCCTAGGCTACAAGCCTGTGCAGCATGTTACTGTACAAAACAACAAAAGATTAAATGAAACATGAGAAAAATGATACAATCAAGAGATGCAATACACAAGAGATCTATAAGGTTTCTGCCGATATGACACAGCATACTGCTTTACATCAAACTTTTTTTTATAGAAAGAGTACACTCCAACAATGAAAAGTATAGCATAGTTAATACATAAACTAGTCACAGTTGTTCATTATCATTATCAAGTAATATGCACTGTACATAATCGTATGTGCTATACTTCATTTGACAGGCACCACAGTAGGTTCATTAACACCACCATCAGCACAAACATAAGAGTAATATGTTGTGCTATGTCCTTATGACAGCTACGATGTCACTTGGCAATAGGTATTCTTCAGCTCCAATATAATCTGATGGGACCACTGTTTTGTGTGTGGTTCATCGTTAACCAAAACATTGTTATGCTGTACATGACTGTACACACTAGAGAAGTTATTTGTGGATGGTGGGCAAATTGGAATGATCACTATCAGCTCTGTGGCCTCCGAGGCTCTTTCTTGGCTTTAAATTACCTATAAGTACGTTCACCTACATCAACTGGCCATTTCCCAACACATGACCATGTGTCATAACAAATATTCCAAGGAGAAGAGCAGTTCTTGGGACAAAATGACCAGAAATCCGTGTAAGGAATACAACTACTATATAAGAAAATAACAAACTCAGCAATATAAATCATCTAAATTAGCATTATGGGAGGAGCAGGAGCAAGAAATTAAAATAATGAAGATGAATATATTAAGAGGTTATGGCTGATATCAGCAATATGAAGCAAAAACAAGAAAACATAAAGAAGAACCCGACTGAGTATTAGGTATGAAATATGTAATAGCTGAAATGAATAAAACAATAGATAAGATACATAACAAAGAGAATAAAGGTGATGAATAAATCAGTGAGTTTGAAGGTCAGATGAGAAACTCTCCTACAAGTCAACAGAAAAGAGTAAAGAGATAGAAAATACAAAAGAAAGGTAGGAGTTATGGAGGGTGGGAGGAAAAGTGCTGTGTCATTTTGGCTAGATTGAACTGCGTTTCCCAAAACTTCTTTTCCCATACATTTTCAGGTACAATGAGCCATAAGTGAGGTCCTTGTGAAAGATATAAAGGGCCTTGTCATTTACCTCCTCACTCTCCTCATTGAGGTGAAATATCAGTGGAGCCTCCAACAGCTTCACCTTCCATAGATCCTCGCTAAGCTTCTCTGACTCCTAGACCAGCTGCATGTTTGGCAATTGTGATGAAATGGTCTGGTTTCTGCAAGAAACACATACAATCAAGATTAGAGGCAACAAGAACTAACATGAGTTTCTGTCTGTCCTCACAGGCTTCATCTCATGCTTGTGGGTGCCAGCTTATCTTGCCTAATTCCACTTTACTTCCATCTTCCCTTCCCAACTGCCTGTTCTGTAGTTTTAAAGCTCCAGCATTGGACATAAAGACGATAGCTTTACAGAGATTGCTTAACCAGCTTTCATAGTTTCATAAGGTCAAATCCCTGCAATACATATATTCCCCTTCCCCACTCCTACCATACTGATATTATGTCAAATTTTAGTTCTAGATTGTTTTAGATGCATTTGTAAATTTGGTCTTTTCCTCATTTTAGTCCTTAATAAAAACACAACTTTACCAAGGAATTTTATCACAGTTACAATATTTCTTGAATATTGAGTACCACTTTCAACATAAGTTCTCAGTATAACTTCATTCTCAGTCATATATATATATTTTATATATATATGTAATATATATATAAAGTCTTTATATATATATGTTAAGTCTTTATATATAAAGCCATATGTATATTAAGTCTTTATATATATATATTAAGCCATCACATTTGAAGGCAATTTGGCTGGGTATAAAATTCTAGGTTCAAATTATTTTGTTTTAATATTTAAAAAGTATTTTTTCCATTTGTCGTCTTGTGCCCACTGTTCAATCTGATTTTTATTTTAGTCGTTGATCTCTTCATTATCGCTGGAAGTTTTTAAAATTCTTTCCTTGTCTTTGATGTTTCAAAATTTTATTCTGATGTTTCCAGGTTTGGAATTTTCCTTATCTCTTTTTAATTTTTTTCTCTCTTTCAGTATCTGAGAGTAATAGAATTCAATCAGAGAAGCAAAACCATTAGGAGGGGTGTATGTATGCATGTGTGTACAATAACAATTATATATATACACATACACATGAATTTACTAAATTATTTACCTAGTTAGGATGAATATACAGATATTGATAAGTTTAAGAATTTATTAGGAATACATAAACATGAGTAAGCATCTTAAGGGAAGCCACACTTGAACAAAAATACAATAATTTTTTGAGCCAGCAAAAACAACAAGAAAGTGTAGTAAATTGAAAATATGAGATATGGTAGGAGAAAAAATATCTATTACAATAGCAATTACAATAAATTTAAATAAAGTTAACTCACGAAAAGCAAATACTCTCTGTTGGTATTAAAAAATGAAAACAAAATCCAAAAATATGTTGTCTTTAAGAAACAGTCTTAAAACCAAAGACTCAAAAAGGTCAAAAATGAAAGAATGAATGACAAAAAAAAAAAAAGAAAAAAACTAAAGAAATCTGGAATAGCGATCATAAGAGCTGACAAAAAAAAATTGGGGGTAAAAGGTAAACAATACTATAGAGCACGAAGATATAACCATCACAAACATATTCGCATGAAGTTAATAATTGGTTATAATAACTGAAAACATACAGAGAAACATGAATACTTCCAATTTGTAACACCCAATTATCAGAAATGTATTACACAAACAAAAATTAAGGAGATTTTTATCTAAAAAGTATAATTAGTTTTATCGTATTGATTATATTGTTCAGATCTTTGTTAGGCATGTTCTAATGGCATATCTTTTAATATATATGCTATAAAAGTTCATATAATAGCAAATACACATTTTAAGAGCATGCACATATTTACATGAATATATTAGACCTAAAAGAATAAACTCTCCAGGAACAATATCTCATACATTGTATCTTTCAAACATAGTAAAATAATATTAGAAATGAATAAGAGGAAATTTTTTAAAAAGTCCCACATTTTGAAAATACCATATTCCTAAATGACTCATTGGTTAAAAATGAAATTATAATCGACATGAATAAATTTCTAAAACTAAATAAACATGACAACACAAAATTTGCGGGACATACCTAAAGCAGTATTTAGAAGAACATTTATACTTTTAAATATGTTTATCAGGAAACAATGAAAGTTGAAAAGGAATATGCTCAGTATCCAATTTAAGAAGTTATAAAATAGAACATCAAAGCAATCCCAATGAAGAAAAAGAATGTAATAAAGGAAAAGAAACAATACAATGATTTTTTAAGTAGAGGAGACTAATAAGACTGAAAGCTCTGTTTTCCAAAAAATTACCAAGGTAAAATTGGTAAGACTGATAAGAAGAATGAAGACAACAAAAGTAAATAAAACAAGAATCAAAAAATAAAAATAAGAAAATAATTACAGATTTAAAAAACAAACATAGATAAATTGGATAAATTCCTAGAAAACATAAAATGTCAAACTGGTATAAGAAGAAAAAGAGAATTTAAAATAGACTCACAAGGATTAAAGAAATTTAATGGTAGTTGAATTTCCATCCGAAAGATCTCTAAACCTGGATGCTTTTAAAATGGACTCTCTTCTCTCTACTGGATATATACCTCAAAGATTTGAAAACATATATCCAAAAAGATATTTGCATACTGATGTTCATAGCAGTATTATTCACAGTGGCCAGGACATGGAAGCAACCAAAGTATTCTTCAATAGAGGATTGGATAAAGAAGTTGTGGTACACATATACATTGGAAAATTACTCAGCCACAAGAAGAGAAGAAATACTGCCATTTGCAACACCATGGATGGACCTCGAGATAATCATGCTAAGCAAAATAAGCCAGACAGAAAAAGTGGAAAACCACATGATATCACTTATTTGTGGGATATAAACCTAAAAGCAACAAACAAACATGACAAACAAACAGAAACTCATGGACATGGACAATAGACTAGCAGTTACCAGAGGATGGGGGAGAGGGGGGAGGTAGGCGGAGTAAAAGGGGTCAAACACGTGGTGCCAGAAAGAACTCTAACTATGGGCAGTGAACATACAATGCAATATATATATATCTATCTTATTGTTGAATCGTACACTTGAAACTTACTAGATTTCATTATCTAATGTCACAATCAATCAATCAATAACAAATAAAATAGACTCAAATTTTCAAAAACACAATTCTTATGTTCCAGAAAATGCAAAAAGAAACAATAATTCTCAGTTCATTTTATGAAGCTAATATAGTCTCGTTTTCTTTAATGCTTCTGTATTTAAAACAGCTCATAAAGTTTTCCCATTCCCAGGTTATAGAGGAATTCATACACATCTTTCCTAGTACATGTATGGTTTAATTTTATTTTTACATTTATGTCTCTGATCCATTTGGAATTTCTTCTGTTATATACTATAAATAATGGATCCAATTTTCTCTATTCCCATATGGCTATAGACAGTGATATGCTGGAGCTGGCTCATGCCAGCTCAGGAGAGCTGATTGTTAAATTTTCAGAAATTTTGTGAGCTGATTGCTAAACTCAACCATTATTACAGAATAGATTATATCAATGTACAATGAAGTAAACCACGTTAAAAACAAACCTAATAATAATCAATGCTCATCACTTCTTAATTATTTTAATATATTTTACTATTATTAAGGCTCTTGAGATTATTTATGTCTATAGCATCTGTGTGGTAGAAATACTATAGAGTGGTATGCTGCTGTACATCTCTTCTCAACTTGGTATTAGACAATATACTAATAGCATGAAATTAGCTATAACGAAAGCATTTACACCACAGAAGCAGCAATGCTAACATCAGGGTTTAATGTATTGTTTTGTTGACTGTTGAACAGGAGTCACTATAACTAGCAGGCCAAATCCAAGTCACTTGTTTTCGTAAATAAAAATGTATTGAAACACAGCCACACCCATTTGTTTACATATTATCTTTGGCTGCTTTTGTGCTATAATAGCAGAGTTGAATAGTTGTAATAGATACTACAATGTCCCCCAAAACTAAAATATTTCCTATCTGGCCCTTACAAATAGTTTGCCAATTCCTGGTCTAGACTTAAGAGAATGAAGGTCTACGGCCATACCACCCTGAATAAGTCCGATCCCGTCTGATCTCGGAAGCTAAGCAGGGTCGGGCCTGGTTAGTACTTGGATGGGAGGCCATCTAGGAAGACCAGGTGCTGTAGGCATAAAAAATAACAAATAAGAGACTGTAAGCTGACAAAGGTCCTTGCAATCTGTGAGGTTAACCAAGGGTTGCCTCGCCTAAAAAAAAGAAAATGAAGGAGAAAATATTAGCAATGTAGATTAATCTTAAAAATTCACTGTGTCTGTAGCTGTTACATTGTGAATAGCACAAAAAACATTGAGGGATAATTTTCCAATATTTAAAAACTATTATCAGATTCAGCAAAGAAGTCACGTCATTGACAAATATGTGAAGTCAAGATTCAACATTATGTCTTTCTAATTTTACTTCTATCTTATTCATTAATGTAAACAAAAATATCTACCTACATTAATAGGAAAATTATACTCATAAATTGCAACCATAAGTTGGTTATGGATAAGCATTTGGCAAAAACAAAGGAAAGCATCTGTGAGAATCAATTAATATATGGAGTTTATAATAGAGAGTATTGTATATTTTATTACTATTTGTAAAGTGCTTGCTAAACATCCTTTATGTCAGTAAAAGTTACAATACACACATATACATATATATTATACACACGCATATGTATATGTGTATGTGTGTGTTAAACATATTTACCATCACAATACTGGATACACAGCATCTGAATTTCACTTATTAAAAATTTATAGCTCTAGTTTAAAGTGAACACAGTGGAACCATTATCTTTGACACCCATCCAGAACTACAAAGTAAGAACAATGTTTTAATAATTTGGTCAGCTGAGTTTCGTTGACAAATATTATACTAAATTTTCCTAATTGTGCTAAATTTGCTGTAAGTAACCATGATCTTTTCTTTGTTATTAAAAATACCTATTTTTTAAAAACATGTATTTTTCCTTCCGATTTGAGATACTGTCTTTATTGTACACTTAATTTCCATATGCAATTTAGTCTACTTCTCATTTTGCTATTTTGTTCCATTAGTCTTTCTATT